CTCGGGCGAGATCCCAATTCGTCAGTCACGACTGACGTAACGTCGAACGTGACTGACTGAAAGGGAACTAGTTTTTTTTCTTCCTCATTATCAACCTCCCATCCATTTACTGTTCTTACTGTTTCATCCATACAGAGCAGTGCACGTATCAATATCTCAGAAGGCTCGTGCCCAGAGAGAATCATCACCATCACGGGCGCCACAGAGTGTGTGTTAAGAGCCTTCACTATGATCACAATCAAACTGGAGGAGGTAAGTACAGGAAAATCGTTCTTGCATATATAAGCACGCAGGGCAATAAGCATAAAATATAACATAAACCTGCATGTTATTGTGCCAACATTAGAGAAAGAGTCCCATAAAAAATAGTCAAACTGACCTTAATTGTTAAGACACGTTCCTAGTCTCATCATGCTTTTTTCTTTTTTTTTTCCAATAATGGAAAATTGATTAAACAAAAGTGCTGATACCAATGAATAATTACTTAATGCTATGTTAAATCTACTTAAATCTGTCACATCGTCAATAGTCTGTGGAAATAACTGACGTCTGTTGAAAATGAATGATTTCCAGTCAGTTTGCAGTGATAAAGCTGTCAGGATGAACGCTTCTTAAAGAAACAGTTCACCAAAAAATACAAATTTGCTGAAAATGTACTCACTCTCAGGCCAGCCAAGATGTAAGTGAGTTTATTTCTTCATCAGATTTGTAGAAATGTAGCATCACATCACTTGCTCAGCAGTGGATCCCCTGCAGTGAATGGGTGCCGTCAGAATGAGAGTCCAAACAGCTGATAAAAACATCACAATAATCCACAAGTAATCCACACCAATCCAGTCCATCAATTAACATTTTATGAAGTGACAAATCCATCATTAAGACGTTTTTAAGTTCAACCCATCGCTTCCGGCAAAAATACAAGTCCTCTCTCCATACTATTGCTTTCTCCAGTAAAAAAGAGTCTCAACTGAAACAGGAGATAAATATGCACAGATCAGGCAACATTTACAAGTGGAAACAGTTCAGAACAGTTCTGTACAAATATGTTGGTGGATTGTGATGTGAGAGGACTATTTTGGCCATGAATTAATGGTTTAAACAAATCCATCAAGACGTTTTATTACGAACACGCGGTTTTTGTAATAAAGAACTGAGGTCGTGTGGATTATTGTGATGTTTCTATCAGCTGTTTGGACTCTCATTCTGGCGGCACCCATTCACTGCAGAAGATCCATTGCTGAGCAAGTGATGTAATGCTACATTTCTTCAAATCTGTTCTTATGAACAAACAAACTCATCTACATCTTGGATGGCCTGAGGGTGAGAAAATATTCAGCACATTTTCACTTTTGGATAAACTATTCTTTCAATTTCAGCAATTTTCATGAAGCAAAATTCACATGTACTTATTTAAAACAAGTTCATAGTCTTATTGTGCTTTTTTTTTAATAACAGAGAAAAAAAGGACAAAAATTAGCTGATACCAATGAATACTTAATGCTATTTAAAACATCATCAGCAGTCTGCAAATAACTTCTGCTGAAATTTAATGGTTTCCAGACGATTTGCAGCGATAAAGCTGTCAGGATGAACGCATAAACGCCCATTTCAGCAATTCTGAGACATGGTTTGTAAGAACAGCTGGTTGAAAGAGTCGTGGGTAGTTTTCATATATTGTCAGTCCCATAGCAGTGGGGTGCCTATCTGCAGGATAACTTCAGAAATATAATTTGAGCCCCAACACGTTACATTCCCTTGGTGATGCCAGTGAACAACTGCTGAAAAGAGACATACAGCTCTCTGAAAAAAAAAAAAAAGTGCTAGACTTCCCAGATCACGATGGGACTTTTGATGCTGATGTGTGTCATGTCTTTTATTTCATGTCATGCAGTAACTCAACCAATGGCATGAGCCTATAGAGTCGGGATCTGTACTTCCAAGCAATAGCACTATTTAGTTAAGTAAATTGGGTGGAAATTCTAAAAAAAAAAAAAAAAGTTAGGTAAATGCATAAACTGCCAAATGCAAACCTCCGTTGTTTATAGAAACATACATACCTATGCATCACACACCCGTATTTTTATTTAATGGCATCAGTAGAGTTATATAACTGCCAGTCAATGAGGTGTGCCTGTCCGCCTGCAGCATGTCAGCTCTACCCCCACCAAGTAATAATGAATATTCTCACTCCTGCTAAACCCATTATGTATTTGATATCCTTTCATAGCAGGCAGGGTGCCATTCATCAAACATCTGTTAGGAATCTCCCTGTCTTCCGCACAAGCCCGTTTCCATACCCATAACTGAAGAGTCACCATAGAAACCCCTGAGGTGGCGGCGGGGTTCGTTTATGCCGAGCATATGATGAGCATTACTGGCTGAATTTTACAAGGCGCTCTATTGAGGTCTGGCCCGGCTTTGATGCAGAATGTTTTCGCTGCTCTTTCAGGCAGCTGAGAACATGGAGGACATCTAAAAGCCATGTTTCAGAGTTTTGGATGATATATGACAGAATAGACAAAGAGTTTCGGTGCTTAGGGAGAAGACTGTGAACGTCTAGACTAGAAAAGAGTCTTTTTTAAGCGAAAAATCCACAAGAGATGTCATGAGACACTAAGTTACTAAGTCTCATTCACTAACAATTGCACATGGTTTTATGTGCAAACATTTTGGCAAACAATGTAAAAGTGAATATTAATATTGCAATATTATTATTATAAGATTTATAAACATTAGAATTATATATATATATATATATATATATATATATATATAAGATTTTATGTAATGTTTGTAATTTTATTATTTAGTTTATATATTTTTACATGTATAGCTAGTCATTGAAACCCTGTTTAAAATATAAAGTAATCATGATAAAACTGAAAACATTCACACCAGAAATCTGCCATGATAGAATTATTATTACAAAATAATAAAATTCCAATAGGTACATTTCACAATTACAAAAAAATGACGAGTAACACATTTAATTAAACATGAGTTTTAAGCAGAAAAGTATTTTCTTGTAAAACTTAAACCAACAATCTTATGTATTCTAATATATTATTTACATTAGAATATATATTCTAATGTATTATTTACAACTTAAAAAAAATCATTTTAGTGTATAATAATAATAATAATAATTTATCATCAACATTTTAATGCTTGAGATCCATATCCACATAAAATAGACAAAACGAGGGTAATTTATTTGTACTTTTTTTGTATTGTTTATAGAAGGTTATATTGTTGCTGTTGATTTGTGGTACTTGAACAACAGAAGGCACTTGAATGGCACTAAACATTTCTTGCTTTGCATCAGAAATTGTTTGACTTCACCCGCATGCTGTCAACCCTGAATTGTTGTTGCATATGCTTTAGATTGAAGCTTTAAAACAGCTCCTTAGTTACATCAGATCAAGAGCCCTTACAAATTGTCATAAATTCTGAGCCTGGACCCCCTTACTCAAGTCAAGTCAAGTCAAGTCACCTTTATTTATATAGCGCTTTTAACAATACAGATTGTGTCAAAGCAACTGAACAGCATTAATTAGGAAAATAGTGTGTCAATTAGACGACAAAGAATTAACTTGACGGAGCTCAAACTCAAAACACACGGCAGCAACAAACAGGAAGTTTAACTCAACAGCTAATGTGCAAATAAGACAGAGTCAATCTGCTGAGAGTAATATCTGAATTGATATTTTATTATCCAGGAGGGTTGTTAAATGAGACGAGAGGAATAAGGGGTAAAGGCTTTGTGTGACGTCCTACATCAAGAATAAATCGGGAGTGGACATCCAGCATTAGCTTTGTTGTTTTGCTAATACTTCAAAATGAACCTGTGAATGTTTGTGGGTGAGCACGTCTTCTCCATTCAAAATAAAAAAAGCGCACTTTTTCATTTTGTAATGCCGTCTTATTGCTCTTCTTCCTAGTAGGTGCATTTTAAAAATGTTTTCCCGATGAATCCTGGACTCCTGCTCAAAATGATAAATTACTATAAGGACAGCTACAAAAAAAATAGCTGTTGTTGTTCCATCCTGACTGATGACTGCTGTGACAGCTCAGCGGAATCCCGGAAAATAAACCGTGGAACTTTGACCAATGAGAGAACAGTTTACTCGCGCGTGACTTGTATTAACAAATTTGGTCCGTTTAGAAACTTTGCCGTGTGAAAGCAAACCGCACCAAGAATAAAAAGCAACATTGTAATAATTTTAATCCCTGTTTCGGAACAAAGCAATCGATCTACAGGTGTGAAAGCACCCTTATTAGTCACCGTTATTAAGACTGAGGCATATTAATATCACTCCTAATTCCACCGAGAAAAGACTACAGAGGGCCACAAAGAGGCACTGGGAAGAGAAAGAAATAGAGAATATAATTTCAGTCAGACATTTGGATATTCCTTTCCACAGCACCGGCAAGAAAATATGCACGTTTTTTTTTTTTCCACCTCCCCTTCGTTCTCTAGAGGTTTCGGGGCGGGCCGTTGAAAGAACACAACAACAGCGTCTCCAAACCTCTTGCTCTGATGGAAACACTAAACAGAAGAAAAAGACTCACTAGCTCTACTTTCCGAGACGCCACTCAAGGCGTATTCATTCGGCTCACGTAGGTGAGGTCTGGGTTGATGGGCAGAGAAGCAGCACACGCTATTTACATATCAAACCCGGCAAGATTCCTGCTCCCCCACTAATTGATTGCAGCAGTGGTGGGCCACGATCCGGGCAGATATTTATTACCTGGTTTAATTAAAGAGAAAGCCTCTGAATCTGCACTGGGTGAATAATGGACGCTGGAGCTGATTTCTTGTAGTGGCAGGAATATGAGTGTGAAATGTTAGTTATCCTCCTCTACTTAGGTGCTTACCATAAGACTAATTCTGGATGATGTGTCAAATGTCATTTCAGATGGTCCACTTGTAATTTTTTCTGTGAAATACAAGGGGAGAATTTGTTATTAATTTTCATGCAGCAGTTTTTCATTGAATGATTTTGTGACCACCACAAAATTCGGCATAAAAGAGGATCATACAACTTGTCCTATTCAGACATTCAGAAAGTTTCTTTTTTATTAGGGTTTTGTTTTCGCACCTTGCGAACGCATGTCACATTTTGATAGAGACAAGTGCGGATGACAGGTGGGTAAATATTGTTTAATTTGGTCATAGAAATCAATGGGTGTCTTCAACGGCGGTGCAACTGTGTTCAGTCAGCTATAACCTTTTGTTGGCAGAGCACATCGATCTGCAAACCCTGAATAGGGAAATTGATTAAAATGGCTTTGGTAAAGAACATTTCATCAGATTGCAATCAAAAGCCACAAAGGGTCATTGGTACACAATGGCATTTTCAAACTTCAAACAAACCTTCTGAATTATGAGGAGAATCACCAGATTAATTGATGGCATTCCTCAAATCTGCTTGAACAATGCTGTCCCTTGTTTACATCCAAGTCTCTTATCTCTTACGTGAATCAGGTAACAAATAACTGGTGCTAGTTTACAACAAAATATGGGATACAGGAAGACAGTTGGCAGCACCCTTTTTGTGTCTGCAAAGGCCAGAGCTGCACCTTGTTTTGATCCCTTCTAGAGAATCCAGGTTAAACTGGTAGAAATAGTCTTGGTAGCACAAGGATATCATAGGGCCAGTTCCCCCAGGAGTAACCTAGGGTTCGGTCACTTGCTCAAGGGCACAATGGTGATAGCTCATGGATAACCGTTTGCAGGTTCAGTCCTGAAACTTTCTAGTTACCAGACCAGATCTTTAACCATGGTTCCAAACCACTCTGAATCAAAGTCCCCACTCTGCCATAAAAGCCACAGTACAGCTTTCAGTTAACACGTCATCTATTCTATGTTTGGCCCTCAAGGACTTGGCTGCTCTTGTGGCGAACGGCACAGTCACCAGTAAGCCTCCAGTCACGCTGCGACTGGTCATCCCGGCCAGCCAGTGCGGTTCCCTCATAGGCAAGGGCGGCTCCAAAATCAAAGAGATCAGAGAGGTGAGTGCTTTTCCATATCCCTATTTTTCTTTCCTCCTGCCTAGGACGTCCATGTTAGGACTGCTTGCTCCGTTGCATATTTCATGGGTTTATTTTATATTTATGGTCTCTGGGCTGTCAAGATGGTATGAGGTAATGGTGAATGCTCTGTCATGCTAAATTTGGAGTGTTCTGTAATGCAATTGCAGGGGGTGTGGGAAGGGGAAGGTTGTTGGAGTTGGGGGAATATCAAGTGCGTTAAGCTAATCAAAGCAAGAAAGTACGTTTTGAAATGGGGTATGTTTGGTGGGTTGCTGGAGACTTTCAAGTAAGCAGCACCAAGTAAACACAGTGCATCCCAATGTTTTAGCCCTACCCTCTTGCTTCATTGGGTTTGGTTAAGCAACTCCTGGATTCATGTTTTTTTTTTTTTTCACCGTGGGTTTGATTATAAATGTACATGTATTTGGTGGTTTTACCCTAGCAATACTTTAGGGGGAAATTGCTGGATGTTATTTAAATTGAACAAACTATTTGGGGACATCTTCAAAGAGAAAGATCTAATTGCAGTAAAGTTAGGGTTTGGGTTAGTCCTAATTATTATCCATTTCCTAGGTCAGGGGTGTCCAATCCTGCTCTTGGAGGATCAGCAACTTACTGAACTCCAGCCCTAAATAAAGACACCTCAACCTAAACATGCTATTTCAAGGTCTCACCTGTCAGACAGGTGTGTGGGAGCTAAACTCTGCATGAAGCTGGCTCTCCAGGAGCAGGATTGGACAGACCTGACCTAGGCAAATCAATGTACTAATGATCTGTTCTTCCTTCGTGTGGCAGAAAACAGGGGCTCAGGTACAGGTGGCAGGAGATCTGCTCCCTAACTCCACAGAGAGAGGTGTGACGATATCTGGGAGCCAGGACGCTATCATCCAGTGTGTCAAGCTCATCTGCACTGTAATACTAGAGGTAATTTGACTCTGAGCAAATCCATTTGGCTTCATTAAAGCAAGATTTTTATGCATGCATTGGCCTTGAAAAACTGTTATGGATTACTATTGTGTGATATTCCTAATCTAAAAGACTTCAAATGCTTCTGTGCTTCAAAGACTGCATACTGGTTTTCAGTTTTAGATTTAGTGGCGTTGATAAATGGATATGATACATTTCTGGAGCCTAAACAGATATTTTTATTGCATTTTGCATGTCAAATACTTTTTCCAAAGATACTCGATCTAACTAACTGCATGTTAAAAATCATTACAGTAATGATTAGTGAATGCGGTCTCTCAGCTCTCCCACAGCGTGAAACGCATTTGCTCTCAAATGGTTTTCTATGCACATAAATGGTTGAAAAAAAAAAATTACACTTTTTATTCAGTGGGATTGTACTGAATGCGTACTGCTTGTTCTGTTTAATTTTTAAAGGACCAGATGAGGGGCAGATTGTTGACTGCTACACTGCCCATTTTAGGAATCCTCAACTGTCTGCCTGCTCCAGAATGCAAATTATGCAAAGTCACCCAATTAATATTTAAAAAGATTATTTTTGTTTGGTTGAGCAATTGTGGGGGATGCGCTTCACTGAGTTTTCATCACTTTGGCCTTATTCTGACCTCTTAATCGAATTACTGCATATGAGCAGGTACAGTTAGTTATCGGTGTACTTGTGTTTTATTTAATAAAATATGTCCTTCAGGCACAGATGACAGCTTGTCTAGGACTAATAGGGCAAGAGTGATTTGACAGTCATTTTGTAAATGTATTTTATTCCTTTTTGAAATTAAAATGTAGGTTTGAACAACAGACTAGTAGAGTTGCAATGATGCTACATGCTCAGGGCACATTTTCTGCATTGCAAGTTTTCCATCTGAGGATATCATGAGCAAGCATTAATAGCATTCTGAAATAATTTGGTCAAATGACTTTCTGTGAGAGGATAATGGTATGCTTTTAAGTGATCCAATGAAGAGCCAATCGATAAATGTTGCATTTGTGCACCGTGTCAGCATTTCCAGTCATTAAGATAATATGACCAAATGACTTTGCAAATGCCCTTAGGTAAGAGAAACCTTGATTTGTTCTAGACCTTTTAGCGCCATTGCAGAATGAGCTGAGAATGGTAGTCAAAGTTTTATACTGAGGGTGAATCTGTAAAGTCCTGTGTTAAAATTAATAATTGTTGTATTTTATGTTTGTAGTCTCCTCCAAAGGGTGCTACAATTCCATACCGCCCCACTCCAGCTCCAGGCGCAGTGCTTCTTGCTGGAAATCAGGTAAAAATGCACATCAAAATGGCAAAACTTGCCAAAAATTCTTTCAACAAAGTGTCCCGCTTTCCTTATAAAAATTCACTACACTTAAAGGTGCGCTACAAATTAACAAAAATCATTTTTTGAGAAAGTACATAAAATCTGTGTGAAACTGTCTCCTTACCTTACTCCAGTTCTTAACAGATCTCTTAACAGATAATACTGACTAATAATTTGAGCTGTCGGGTTGGGTTTTGCAGGAATTGTCAGTTTGACATCATTTGTCTTTGTGTGGTCACGTCCACAAACTTTTGTAACATTATTTATTTTAAAACAATTAATTTCAATGAGATTTATATATTTTTTGATTGTTATGACTTTTCCTTCTGGAAAGGGAGTAATAATATACCTCTGCAAGTAACTTGGAAGTTTTAAGCTTCAATCGCTTAAAGAGCCAAACATCCCGTAGTGCACCTTTATTAAGTGTTAAAGGAGTAGTTCACTCAAAAAAATAAAACTTTTTTTTCATAATGTACTCACCATAAATCCCTCATTTAGTTTTAAACCTGTATGGCTTTTTCCTTCTGTGGAAATGTTGCATATCCTGGCCACTCTTTTTAAAATAATCAATGTGAATGAGTTGTCAAGCAACAAAATGACAAAACAATCACAAAAGTGGTCCACAAGTCATCTATTATATTCCAAATCAAATAATGACAGAATTTCATTTTTGGGCGAACTATTCCTTCAAGGCCTTGTTCACACTGCACACAAATCTGATTTGTTTTTCATATCCAGTCTTCAGGACTGGCTGTCCAAAGTGACATTTTGCAAGGAATGAAATTGGAATCCATTTGTTCAGACAGTATAGTCAATGTCTGTAGTCAACAGCTACATCCATCGTGACAGTCATGACGCAGGTGTCATCATGATGCCAAGAGAGTTGTTTCTTTTACAGCTGAAATTAGCAAGTTGTCATTGTGGATGTCTATTATGGCTTCTCACCATGGTGCTAAACATTAAAAAAAGGATTACAGTATTTAACTGTATGGATATTTTAAAGTATGAGTGTAGTTAAATCAGGTTTGTTTTTTGCAGATCAGTCTAGAAATAATGTATGTATACACCAAAAAAAAAAAAAAC